AACTCTTTACATTGCATGGGAGGGAGGGAGGGATTTGCAATATGTGGCTCAGCTTTCACTATCGACGACCATACTTGAATTATTTGTTGGCCCACTGTACTGATGTTTGACCTCCAGATCCCATCACCCAATAATGTTCTTATTTTAGCGTAAAGATTCTTTAAATTATTTTCAATTTCTTAGAAGTTTAATGTCATCATCTCCTATTTATAGGGGAACAGTTTTCATATTTGTCTAAATGATTGAGTTTAAATTTCATAGTAATGAATGATGAACAATGGTGTTTGGTCGATCGTCCGAAGCCTTGAGATCGGCCGGCTATATCGGTCGACCGTTAGTTGTACACAGATCGCAATGATGGTTAGTGATGGTCGGTCATATCTTATTCCTAGAGATCTTTGGTTGCTCGATCAGGACATGTGGACCTTTGCTATCACTAGCGGTCTTATAATTGACAATCTGTCGGCCGACAGACTTTGCATCATAGAAAATTCCATCGGTCGGCACATTATGTCGATCGACCCAATTATAAAGTCGATCGACTATTTGTTGATGAGTTCTTTGCTTTGCCAATTGGAACCTCGCTTGTGTGTCTCTGTTGCTGACCATCCAATTTTTTTGAGATGCATGCTAACATATTGTAGTATGCAATTATATATATATTTTTGAGGAAAAAAATGCAAGAAAGAAAAAATACAAGATGGCATGATCAGATCTTGCCTTACATGGGAGAAATTATTCAAGAATGGAGTCCACAGGTCCGAACAATGGAGGCGATCTAACCACGTGAAATACAAGATGGCATGATCAGATTCCCATCGTTGTTCAGACCTACAATTTTTGAATAATTTTTCCTTACACAGAGACTACTAAACTCTTTTCTCAGAGAGCCTAAATAAGAAATTCTCCCTTGCGACCAACCATGTGATTGGGACTAAAAAAATGGTGGGGAGGGCTGAACAGCATTGTATGAACAGGCTTCCTTTGTTTATTATGATGATTCAATGAATTTGCAGTGTAATCTAAGACTAATCGCATAATAAATCTTGAGATTAACACTGCATTAATGATTCTCTCTATTTATTAGTCGTTTTCAAGCTATGTCATTGAATTGAGTACCATCTCGTTAACAGGCTTCAGTTATGATTAATTTAGGGAGATTTATTAGATGTGTTGATTTTTTTTATGGTAGTTATAAATGTGATGTTTTTAATATGATAATTGCTTGGCTAAAAGTTAGGAAAATTACTTACAAGGAATTTAAATTTAATAAAACAAAATACTTAACAAGAAGAGAAATGACAAATCAAATCTATAAATTTGACTTCACATAAATTGGGGCGTGCAAATGATAAATTTGGATGAATCAGTTTACGGATTAGTTAAATTGAATGAAATTGAATCTAAAATAAAAAAAAAAATTGAACCGACTTCAATGTGCTTGGAATGAATTGATTAATGTTGTTTTTTGTCCTGTGGTGTTTCCTCGTAGGCTTCATTTGAATGAGTATATTCAGGTTCATCGAAATTTTGGGGGAAGTCCTATGTTGTAGCCTAAACATTGGAGCTTGTAGTCATAACACCGAAAAGTGAAATTTATAAAATTTAGCTTATAACTAAAAAAGCAATTCAAAAAGTTGAAAGAAAATTAAAAAAAGACAAAAAAATGGAAGTATAGCTTAGTGAGATCAATTTACCATCGAGGATCACTAATTGCATTCGAAAAACATATAAACTTTAGTTGCAAGAAGAGATAGTATTTAAGATTTAAGTGTGTTGGGTGTTTCGTATGATCGAGTTATTTTTTATTTTTCTTGATTTTCTTTTTATAGTCCTAAAAAGAGTCTGTATTAGAAATAAGGCGCGCGAGACGGGGACCGGGAGCAGCAAGCTCATGCCCCGTACTTTAATTCTTAATTTCATTTATGTAATGTATTAGGGTCGGCTTCCTTTTTCATTTATGGGATATATCGTCGACCCAGCAGCATCACTCATTTTATTTTCTTACTTGGCTTGTTAACTGCTTTTTCTGCAGGATCGCATGCTTGAGTTGTTTCCCCTGTTTTATGACTGAATTTGGGATGCTACGAATTTGCAATTTTGGTTCTTTAGAACGTTAAAATTTTAATTTTTTTCTACAAAAATCCTAATAAAAATTTCAACATTATTTAAAATTTAGGATTAAAAGATTCAATATTTTAAAATCTGTGTTTTACTTTTCTGCATGACCTTTGGGCGAGTTTTAAAACGGGTTGCATAGCATGGACATAATCTAAGTCATACTAATAGAGCATCTATGTTTAGGATTGTGGTAGAGAACTGCATCATATGCATGTCCTAAGGAGAAGCCCCAGTGTTTCTTTAACCTTACTAACCAAGCATAGATTTACACTAAGGGGGTTGTTTAGTGTGCTTAGGTTGTTAGAAGACCCCCCATTCCAGATGGTGTGTAAGTCCTTTTGTTGGGAGTGATTCTAGCTTTATAGTTGAATCTCCCCTTTTTCTTCCTTTCCAGCACTATTTTAGACACTTTGGCGAATATAAGTCTCACCTATTTTAGCTCCACCTGATAGTCATATTATAGAGTTTGGTTCCTTAAATTTTAGGGCTACCGAGATTCCCATAGATGACACAATTCACAGATTTCTGACCGTGGATCTTAGGTCGTGTCGTGTTGGGTAGACTACCTTCACGACCAGGTAGACTTAAAGTCCCAATGTCTTGGGATGATGGGTCTATGGTACACCAACCCGACTACCTCTACCTTCTAGTGATTACTCCTCTCTTCATTTAACTACACATGTTGAGCCCTGTCTCTCTTTTTGCCTTCGTTGGTATCATCTCGATGGCATGATTACCGATGAACTGCTACTCATTTGGAATATGATGATTTGTTCTCTACCCTTATAGCTCAGATTTACTTTGTCGTAATATGGTTCTCCGTTGAGATGATTCAGTTTTTTCACAAGCTCTTTATGCCGATGAATATGCTACCTGAGACTAACTCTTTGCTCCGTGACTTAGCTGAAACTTTGAAAGCATCAAACTATTTCTATGTGAAATAATTTTCCTTTGATAGTTCTGTGCTCGTTGTCACTATTAATGTAAGCAAAACTCCTTTAGATCAAGAGTATTCTTAGGCAACCTCCAAGATGTATTTAACAAAGTGGGATATATCCCCTTAAGAGCACTTTTGACCAGAAAACAGGCAAGCACATCTGAATCTCTAATTATGGGTAGTTTATGTAGGCATGCTTTTGCGAAAATCGGTCCAAGGTGCATCTGTCATATTTTTTGGACATATTTGACATATCCTTGCAAGGTTTATCACATATAGGTTGTCTATATTTTCTTACTGTTTCCTTGCCTTCTTTGTTGTATATCCCTACTTTTTCCGTTCCTTTCTTCTCCAGATCATAGAAGGAGAGAACTATTTAGAAAAGAGAATTATCCCACGATAGACAAGCTGAAGAATCCTTCAAAAATAAAAAAAATGAGAAAAGAAAAAAAGAAACATTTCTAAGACAGACATCTTGAACTTCTCTAGGGTTCAACTTTCGAGACTTGTAGAAAGAAAGTATTCTCCTGTTGATGTTGTACCTCAGTCCACACTGGTCGGTTCCTCTCCTCCAGAAGGGCAAATATGACATTATTTTTGTATGACTCGTCGTCAGGCTTCTCCTGTAGGTGAATCACTCTTCTCCCGTTATTTGTCGTGGTTCCTCTTGAGGGGGTTCATTGCCTCTGTTTGGGCCAGTTCTCCTTCTAGAAATGGGGCCGCCACTTGGGTAGTGATCCTCCTAAGCACTTTTGTGAACTATCCTGATATTTGGTTGGTGATTTGAGTCCACAATTCTTATAAGTCTTGTCGGACGAATTCTTCTATGAACTCCCGGGTGCATGTTGCTTCTATCACATTCCTCGAGCTGGATTCTTCCAGTTGTTGTTCAGCTCCTTTTTTTTGGTTGATGGCATGTTTACATGCTCATCACACCTTTAAGAATATTGAATCCCAATGTATTCGGAGAGCACACCCAATGTAAAGAGCATTAAGAGAGAGAAAATGTAGAGAAAGGTAGAGCATGAGAGAGCACCGTAGGGAGCAGTAAAGGGAGTGTAACATATATTCATATCATCAACCCCCTATTTATAGATATAGGTCCCATTATTTCAAAAGTACATGTTAGCTCCCTCATCATTGACTTTTCAGATGAATTTTTTTAGTAATTACAAAGTTATTCACATATAATAAGATCGAGAGGCTGAATCAATTGATAAGTGCTCGTCGACACTCCGACAAACCTCAAATCGATTGATATTTAATTTGAAAGAATGTTTCCTGTCGATCATCCCAAGGGTTGATCATCACCCTATAGAAATCTCTTGCCAAGTTCCGCAGATCGCCTGAACAAGACACCCCTGTAGCTGTCATCCAGTCCGAAACGACCTTCAACAGCTACGTTCAATCAACCGTTTCTTTCTCCAGAATCGTTCATCTATCTTGAAATTTATGCTGACATATTTTACATGTATAATATATTTGGTTTGGTTTTCTTCAACCATGTCCAATTAAGATTGCAATAGCTTTTGTTATGGTGTTAATTGAAAAAAAAAAAAAACACCCTTACAATTGCTCCCTCCCCTTTTATAATAAAGGTCCAGAGTTATCCATAATTTTGTGCATGGCAACTAAAGTGTTTGCAAGTGTCGCCAACAAACTATATTAGAAAAAAAATTGTGGAGGAGAAAACACCACAACGGGCCATAATAGGTGCCAATTAGAATTTAGCCAAGCCATTATATTTTAGTCATATGAATGGGCTAGAAAAGGAGATATAAATTGTGAATTCATGGCCCAAAGATGTAAAAGAGCCATTATGTGTTTCAATATAAAATTAATGTGCAAGTACTTACCTTCAACAACATAATAAACATTTCCCAATAATCAATGTAAAAGCCAAAAAAAAAAAAAGCAAAGTTATGGTTTTTAAGCAACCAAAAAAAAAAAAAAAAAATTGCGCACTGCTTTTATCAAATCAAATACAACTTGCACATTCTAACCTTCGCTTTTACATGGACCAATGAAGCCACAAGGGCAGCATTTGCAGGGTTAGAGCCATTACCTTTTCTTCTTTTTTTTTTTTCTTTTAACATTTTGATATTATTATTATCTTACATTGCAGGCTCCTTTTAGGTCCAAGTGAAAGCAATCGCGCTGGCAACGGTGTGCTTCCCGTCGGACCACTCTAACCTGCCTAACCCCGACGAGCCAGACGGCAGTGACGGCGCTGTGAACTTCACTATGTAGCTCTTCTTCTCCCCCGTCTCTGTAAAACTCAACACCGCCGGCTCCACCGCAATTTTAACCTCCCCGCCGTCAACCTTCGCCGTCGCTGTCGCCTTATAAGTCGCCGAAGATCCCACATTCGTCACCGTCCTCTCATGCGTCACTGTTGCCGACGCACTCTCGTCGGCACTTGCAATCGCCGTTGCGAAGGCCACCGAGAACGAAGGGTAATTGAGCTTCGACACTGCGTAGTTCTTCCGGCTGTCGCACGAGAAGTTCCGATCCTTCGACATTGCAGCGATCTGAAGTGAGGTGTAGTTAAGCGCACAGAGGAATTCGAGGTAGTCCTGTGCAGTTAGGTCATAGACAAGCCCAGGATCCATCGCCTTTCTTGGATCCACATGGCCGGCTCCAAGGTCGAACGGCGTAGCTTCCTGGCCGGTGGCAACGTCCAGGATACCGTCGCCATTTTGGTATTTCACGTAGGCGGTAGTCATCAGCGCTGATTTTATCGCCGCCGGGCTCCAATCCGGATGCTCCTCCTTGAGAAGCGCCGCGAGGCCGCTAACATGCGGGCACGACATCGACGTGCCGGAGATGATATTGAACTCCACCCGCCGCGAATCAGTCGGAAGTCCAGTAGGGCCGACGGCGCCGGTCCATCCGGCGAGAATGTTGACACCGGGGGCAATCAGATCGGGCTTTAATATCTCCGGCGTTACCGAGTTTGGTCCACGAGAAGAGAACGCGGCAACCACCGGCGATGGGCTGACACCAACCTTAGTACCTCCAAAGATGATGGTGGCGGTGGGGTTGGGATCGGAGATGGAGTACGCCTTGACCGCGTTTCCGGCTTTTTCACCAATCAAAGTTGCAGGAAGCAGATGAGCATCGGCTACGAGTTCCTCGCTGTTCGTGGCGGTGTTCGCCAAGATCATGCCAGCACCGCCGGCGTCTTTCACTACCATGCCCTTCTGAACCCTAGCATTGATGCCTCTCTCACAGAGGACTACTTTCCCAGCAACTTTTTCCGGCAGGAGTGTTCCCGGCATGCAGAGGTTTCCATTACTCGAGTTCGTCGCGTTGCCTGCGTAGACTAAGGCGATCGGAGTCGACGGAAGGAGCTTCCCGCTGTAAAGCGAAACCCCCGTATAATTCTTCCCGTTGCCGAGCACGACGTAGGCCGGGAAATCCCGATCGAGTGTCCCTGCTCCAACGGTTGTGATCCAAGGCGCGAGATTTGACAGCGTGGCGGTTCCCGGGCCGGCGTTTCCGGCCGAACAGGAGACGAGAACCCCTTTCTCCATTGCGTTGAACGCACCGATGGCGACACTATCGCGGTAATAATCAGCGGCTCCGCCGCCGAGTGAAAGGGATAGTACATGGCAGCCATCATTCACGGCTGCATCCATTGCCGCGAGGATGTCGGAACTGAAGCAGCCTCCGGCCCAGCAGACCTTATACACTGAGATTCGCGCGCGTAGAGCCATGCCCCGCGCTGTACCCTCGGCGTAGCCGAGGAGACTTGCGTTGGTGACTGCAGAGCCGGCAGCGGTTGTGGAAGTGTGGGTACCATGGCCATCAGCATCGCGTGGGGATCTCGACTCATGGCTCTCGTCGATTGGTCCCATACTGGATTCATATCCCTTGGAGAAGAATCTCGCGCCAATGAGCTTGCGATTGCAGGCCTTAGTCGGATCGAAGTCCTTCGCAGCGACGCACTCCCCTTTCCAGAAGGCAGGGACCGGACCTAAGCCGTTGTCGTCGAAGCTGTTGCGCTCCGGCCAGACGCCGGTATCGAGGACCCCAATAACGACGTCGGCGATGGTGGACGATTCCGGGACGAGCTCAGCAGGGAGATCTAGGCCGAGAAACTCCGGGGTGCGGGTGGTGTGAAGATAGTAAGGGGTGTCCGGTAGGACGGAAAGAACGCCGGGGTGTCGAGCTAGGATTCGGGCCTCAGCAGGGGTGAGCAGGGCCGAGAATCCATGGGCGACGGTGTCGTAGGTGTAGAGCAGATCGGCGGAGTCTGATATGGAGCGGAGCGAGGCGTCGTACCAGTGGGAGTGTTCGGTGAAGCGCGGCGGCATTTGTGTTTTTGCCATGTGAACGATGTAGGATGCTCGCTCTGCGGCAGCCCAGGCTATGGAGAGGAGGAGGAGGAGAAGGAAGAAGATGACTGGTCTGGCCATGGCGGGCGTGGTCAGGGAGGGGAGTGTGAGGTGGGTTTATGTAGCTGCGGTGGGTGGGAATTGGGAAAGAAGGTATGATACGTATGTGGAATGATTGCGTTAAAGGAACAGAATATGAGCACAGGGGAGTGAGGGGCATAATTTTTTTATAATTATTCTAAATATATTTTTAAAATAAAAATATTATTATTATTATTAAATTATTATTTATAGAAACTTATGTAGTTAAAGTAAATTAAAATAGATATATTAAATTCAAATTTACGATAATCTAATATATTTCTGTTTTGTCTTATTTCTGCTTCGCGGCACTCGTGAGCGATGGAAACGCTGGAGGTGCGTGGATTTGAAGACGGGCTGGCTCAGTCACGGGGGCGCGAGGGACGGGGGGGTGTGGGGACCGCAGATTCAGGTAAGATTACCGTATCGTTTTGTCTTTTTGAGCCGAATGTTTGTATTTCGATTTTCGACTGGTGTGATTAGGATATTTGCTGTTTATTTATTATTTATTTTTCAACGGTTGAGATTAAATTTAGAAAGGGAAGTGGATTAAAAAAAAAATGAAGTCCAATCATACAGAATAATTGAATGGTTGTGAGGCATTTTCATCATTTTAATGATACATGTTGATAAGAATCGTCTATTATTTATTATTGAAATTATATATATGTTCATTGCATGCCACAGATCGAATGTTGGTTATGTTTTGTAGCTCTTGGATGTTTTTGACAGATTTGTGATTGGTCCTACATAATTTGAGTTGTATTTTTTTTAGAATGATTAACCATCGTGAACAATGTGACTAAAATTTATGATTTTGGAGATATATATATATATATATATATATATATACATAATAAAGCTAAATCTAATAAAAGATATCTAAAAAATAATATATATATATCTAACCATTGGCTACAAATTCTTTTACAATTTGATTTTGTGCGTCTAAAATGGCATTCCTAAGCTATCAAAGAGGCCTACATGTAAATAGACCTCTAGCCTATTAGATTGGACCTTTTTTAGAATGTAGATATTATCATGCCCATAAAGCTTATAGTTGATCGATGGTACTCATCAATCACGTCCATCAAAATTGATCGGTGCTAAAAAAATTGCTTAGCTTTCATCTTATTTTTCTCTTTTCCGATCCTTTATCTTATTTGAATTGTTTTGAAGTTTCAAGTAAAACGACTCTTTGGAGAAGGAATTTTAGGAGCTACCTTTATAATCAACTATTCTGATTGAATTCGTGATAGCGAACACATGTTCCATTTATAAATCAATATTTTGTTAATCTCTTATTATTTAGATTTATAACTATTTTATTTATTTCTCACTAAAAAAAATTTCCTACACTCAAGACTATCAATGTATATAGGGAGATTAGTCATTTGTTTGCTAATTTTATCTCCAATAAATTTAATTGAAAAATCCAATTATCAAAGTAGTTAAAAAAAATTGAGCTCCTTATGTAATTTTTATCTCAAAAAATATAATTCTTTTTCTGTTGAAGGTAACTAAGGATTTCATTTTTTTAATTATCATATATCTCATATTAGATATAAATAAAATTATTTAATAAATATTTCATGTAAGCAATGTCTTCACTTTAAACTCCCAAAAGATGTATCTACCTATAAATAAATCCAAAAGAGAAACTAATAGTGAATAATGTCTTCGCTCATTTAAAGAACTTAGAAAGATAAAGCCGAATAATGTTTGTACTATTTAACAGTTTTAGAAGATAAATGTCCCATATGATATTGTACATCAAAAAACAATCTACACAAATCTCGAGATAATCTAATCGTCTAAATAAAAAGATAGATGACTAAGATATGTCAAGAATTTGTTATGAATATAAAAAAGGCACCATAAGACCTATCTCTTTTATTAAAATTGACAGCATAAAAAGATAATAATAACATGTAACTTCTTTATTAAAGCGGAGACCATAAACAGACATCATAGTGACCTATAACTCTGCAATTAATATGGAAACCATAAAAAGATAATAATAACCTATAATTCATCCATTAAAGCAGAAGCAACCATATAATTTTAGACTTGGTTCTTTTATCTTCTATAAATAAAAGAATCATATCATATATGAGGAAGGAAGGGGGGTTTTTTACTCTTTTCTCTAGACCCATCTTATGCAAGGACATTCGTCTCATATTCTCTTATAATCTTATATACGGGAGAAGTCTATGCAAGCTATTTTATTTTTACCCTTTTCTGTCTCATTTTTTCTCCCTCAAGGTCTATCCTACTCTAATTCTTAGGCATACTTGTCATGAAAAATTTGGATTAAACATCCTAAAAGGTGCGATGAGCATGAAGCATGCAACCAACTTGAAGGGAAGCGACACCAACAAAGAGAAATATATCTCAGAGACATTTCTAACAGAGAGCGCGTTAAGGAGTTCATGCAATATACCTGGAGCTAGAAACACTATTTTCATCATCATCGTAGGGGCTTTAGCTAGGAGAAGTGTACCGCGAAATAGATTACTGACTCTTAACGGTTGTTTCAACTGTACTCGTGCACTGCTCGATCAATTCTGAGTGGTTGACTCCTCCTCCAACAAATAAAGAAAGTGTTACTTCACAACTTATCTTATGTTGTGGCAAAAATCTCTCTAATGTTGTCAGAGGTTTAACTGACACTCGGAGACCTTAGTTCCGAGTGAGCAAACAAGACATTAATAATAAATGACTCCTCTATTGGGTGAGCAAACAAAATACTCTCCTTCAGAGCCAACAAATAAAAGTCTTCAATCCATGGCGAGCAAACAAAAGATTTTCCTTCAAGGGGGAATAAATAAAAAAGTCAGTGATGAGAGATCAATTGACGGTCCGACCTAGCAAATGGGATGGGCTAAAACTAAGATTTGAGTTGGAAGATATCACGATCGGCAATTTCCTAAGGAGCCAAGTTGCAAGTTAACACAGGTTATTAAATCAATGCTAGTGAATATCTTAACACAACACAAAACACCGAACAAATAGTTTAGGAAAAAATGCTTCGGAGAAGGCGGGAATGCTCAAAAAATGTTAAAACATAGCGTGGAGAGTGCCTAGACAAGGAGTATCAACAATGATTCATGTAATTATGTTTATTTGTTTTAAAAATTTTCTTATTTTTATCGCACTTGTCACTATCAAGTAGCAAGAAAATCAGAGAACTTATTCACACACAAAAATGATCTGTAAAAATCTCAAGACAATCTAACGGTGCAAATAAAAAGATACATAACGAAAATGTGTCAAAAATAAGTTATAGATATAAAAAGGCACTATAAAGATCAGTAACTTTCCTATTAAAGTGGTGAACATAAAAATATAATAATAACAATGTTGTTACTTTGTACGATTTAGTTGGGTAAGTGTGGCATGTGTTTACACACATGCCCTTTGATATGAATGTTAATTTAGCCTAACACTTGCATCAGGCCCACCTGACATATCGCATATGATCACTCACACATAGTTGAGGATTATGATATGTCAATGCATATGCATGTTTGTATGATCATAACATGATCTATTGTAATGACAAACTCGTCTTTTAATAGATATAAAGCAGAGACAAACATGTAATTAGACTTGGTCCCTTTATCTTCTATAAATAGGAGAATCATACCATGTATGAGGGGAGGAAGGGGGGTTTTGGCTCTTTTCTCTAAACTCATCTTATATAAGAAGATCTGTCACCCCTTTTCTTACACTCATTATATTATATATATATAATTGGTCAATACCCCAGTGCGCCCCTTCTGAGTAAGACTATGTGTGTTATTTTATTTCATTTCCCTTTTCAATCTCTTTTTTTCCCTCCCTCAAGGTACATACAACTCTGATCCTTGGGCATGTCTCACAGGACATATTTGGACTTAACAGGTATAAATCATCTAAAAAAAAATAAATAAATAAAATGTATTAATTTTTAAAAAAAATTTAAAATACAAAAATTTTAGAAGGTACATAATATTTAACAACTTTCTCAAGACAAAAGTAATAAAAGCTTTAGATTCCCTAAAAAATTTATAATATAGAAGCCTAGAAAGTATGCATTATGTAAAAATTTTACAAGATAAATGCTTTAACGGTACATATTCTCTAAAAAATCTTGAAAGCAGAAGTCATAAATGATACAAATTTTTCACGTAAACCTAAAGACCTTAAAAGGCGTGTCTTAACTCTTAAGTTTGGCAGCCTCTATTTGTTTAAGGATGGGTTGATTTAAAAGCCTTAAAAAGTATAATTTAGGATAAAGTCATTATCAATCAAGATATTAAGGCTATCATGCTCCTACAAGTACAGCAATTTTTTTTTTTGGTTCTTGTTTTTTAAGTGCTAACTCAAAGATTCAACCATAATAGTGGTGATTTTTAACACGACTTAAAGATCTCAAATATATCTTGTAGTTATTTAGAGGTTTGATTTTCTTATAGCAAATATATCTTATTGTCATTTAGAGGTTTAGTTTTATATAGCAAGAAAATTATAAACAACATATATCACCCTTACCGAGTGTGTACTATATATTGCTATATATCTATCTATCTATACAAATGTATATATATATATATATATATATATATATATATAATGTATTTGTGTGTGTTGTCAGCCGTGCCATGTTGGTAGAGCAACCTCTTTGAAGATCGTATGTCCCCTCATGTCACGGTTTTGAATCCCTCTTTGACTTATTTGCTGATAGTGAGCGCGATCCTCAAATAGTTAGACACATGAGGGTGGTTGGGGGCTTGTGATATAAATAAATAAATAAATAGATACATGTGTAAATATATATATATAGATATATATCACATGATAAAGATAAATGCTCATGATTTTGATATTCTCGGATGACTAAAAAATCTCACCGGGCAACTGATATTTCTCCAATAAATTTTCATCAACTAGCACAAATATCGAAGCAATCTTTTGAGCAAAAAATATTCAAACTTTAATTAGAGTTATCTAAAACTCAAATTTCAGTAAACTTATAGTCAAACTGTCTGGCTCGATGAGATGCACCCAATGGTGCAAAAATTGATCCAATATGAACCAAATCGATCCCCGATCA